AGAGGGCATGAAATATAGTTCATCTTGAATTAACTGGGGAGTCACAGTAATCAACCAGCCTCCCTCACCTTGAAGGGAGCCCTGAGCCACACCTAGAACCTGTCTCAGGCATCCTCAAGGCTACCGAGGTCAGAGGAATCATTTCCTACTGGGAAGGTCTGGAGCCACTGGTGAGCACAAGGATTGGAAACTGGGTGTGGAGGACTCAGGGCCCAGGAGCCCCTCGCAAAGTTGGAAGATGCAGACAGAAACCCTGTCCCCTGCTGGCTTAGGGTGATGCAGGCTGTCCCTGGGGAGAGCTGTCTTGGCTGTGCTGCTCATCTTGGAAGGACCATGCCGATGCACTCTGTTCATGAGGGTCTACGGTCCCCAGGAGTCCCATCAGTGGGACGAAGTGTGAGCAGATAAAGCTTCAGGTGCCCAGGACATAAAAAACAAAAACAAAAACAAACCGAAACAAACACAAACAACAAACAACAACAAAAAACAGTGAGGTATAGCTTTCCTGACACAAGAGAAGTCATTTTAGTCCCCAGCTATATTCTGGGATCGCTGTCCTAGTGTCTCTGTGTTCCCAGCACACATCTTGCAGATCTACCTAAGATTTAAAAAGAAATACAAAACAAACAAACAACACAAAACCCAATCAGTACTTGAGGATTTTAACAGGACAAAGAGAATGGGGACCTGACAGTCTCTACCAGGCCAGGAGAGATCCTGACCACATCAGAGAACACAAATAAGTGCTGAACCCCCCAGGGCTGATTCAAAGGAAGCCAGGCCCTGCACTCCTTACCCCAGATGAGGACCATAACCCTTTCTGGTTTACACTGGCTCTGGAGCAGGACCTCAGCGCCTTCCCCCTGTGGGACAGTGACCTCTGCTTCACTCCTGAACAAAAGAAACTATTTGGGCAGCCCCAGGTAGCTCAGCTGTGTACCACTGCCTGCAGCCTGGGACATGATCCTGGAACCCAGGATGGAGTCCCAAGTCGGGTCCCTGCATGGAGCCTGCTTCTCCCTCTCCCTGTGTCTCTGCCTCTCTCTGTCTCTCTCTCTGTCTCTCTCTCTGTCTCTGTGTGTGTGTCTCATGAATAAATAAACAAAATCTTTTAAAAAAAGGAAAGAAACTATTTAACTTTTCTCCATACCTGATCCCTGCAAAACTCAATATCTGTCATTGAGCACTCTTATACTTTTATGACAATATATTTATTAGCACAAGGTTTTAAGATTCTGTTTTTTATAAGAAGATATAACTGGAAACATTGGTTATATTACCAAGATGTTTACTACAATGTCATACTGGTTTATATGTATAAATTTTCATATATATATATATATACATATATATATATATATTATTGGAGTTCGAATTGCCAATATATACTATACCACCCAGTGCTCATCCCATCAAGTTCCCCCCCACATGCCCATCACCCAGTCACCCCATCACCCTTCCACCGCCCCTTAGGGGAAAAGGAGAGAAAATGTGTGGAATAAATTAGAGAGGGTGACAAAATATGAGAGACTCCTAACTCTAGGAAATGAACAAGGGGTAGAATGTCATATTTGAATGAGACATATGCATCTGTATACATCGATGCACACATAATCAAATATGACCTGTCAGATTTAGGGAAGTAGCATTGACTTCATGGATCCAGTATAACCTCTTGGAAATATCATCCTACAACCTTCTTACAGAGTTTCCAACAGCTTTATCAGGCTAGTCAGGAGGTCATGTCCTGGCAGGTGCAGGATTCTTGGGATATTTGGGTACCTCAAGAACAGAAAATGCACCCAAGTGTATACGTGTTTCAGGCTAAGTCTGATGACAAGTTTGGCACAAGTTTTGGCTTCACTTCTATACTGGAGGAGCTGTTAAACATTTCATCCAGAGGTTTTTCACAAAAGTTGCAGCAAATTACATTTTAACAAGAGCCTATATGTTCAAGTGCCATACTTGCTGCAACTATATTTAGTAGAAATGAGGGTGTTTGTTGAGAAAACGTATATTTCAATGACACATCTGAGTAAATACTTGATGCGATTACTGTTCATTATAACCTGAACTTGATCCTGATTTTCTCTAGCTTCCTAAAATCTATGGCTACAAGTCTGAAAACTAGCATGTTGACTTTTCTCCCACCTTTGGAAGTGCATTCAAACTGCCCTGAGGTCCTGAAAGCTAACTGCAAATCCAATGATACAACCTTCAGAGAAGTCACCACAGTCGCTCATGCAGAGGTGGTCTTCATGCCAGTGGCTCTCTGGGACAGAGATCACCAGACACATTTGAAGTACAAACCAGGAAAGTCTGTTAGATGGTCACAGCCTTCTGTCACTCTACCTGAAGACGACATGAGCTTGACATCAAGAAATCTTCTCCACTGGTTACCCTCAGAACTCAGAAACTACCTACAATTTCATTCGATCATTTACCATCCTTTTTTCCCCCATACAACTGCCTCTTGTTTAATACCTGATTTCTTGAACCACAAGCCTGACTTTGAGAATGCACCTCCATCAACCCCTCCTGAAATGGGTTTAAATAAACTTGCCATTGTCAGGAGAGGGTCAACAAAACTGAACAATCTGCTAGCACAAGTTTTAACACATGTATCTTTGGGGAAATTTCAGAGAAGGGAGGGAACTGGCTAATCATAGGCTGCCCCAGATTGGACCCCATTGGCATGAACGTTAGTTTCACTTTAAACAAATGAAACTCAGCAGATTTAGGAAAAGCTTTTTAATCCTCCAAAACTGCCAGCTTGTACCAGGAAGAGAGCTATGACCAGGATCCCTCTTTACCTAAGACATGTGTCTCTATAGCACGACAACCTCTCTTTTCCAAACAAATCCTCTCCCCTTCCCTCTAATGCACTTTCTCCTCTTTGGTCATCAGACTGATGCCCCTCTCCTTCACTCACATATGTGTCATGGTGCCTGACTGTCTTTGGAATTCTCCACGTCTGTGTGGATACCCACTATGTAGGCTATGAAGTTTGATTTTCTTCTGTTAAACTGCCAAATTAGATTTATTAATTCTTTATTAATTCCTTTTTAAATAATAAATTTATATTTTATTGGTGTTCAATTTACCAACATACAGAATAACACCCAGTGCTCACCCCGTCAAGTGCCCCCCTCAGTGCCTGTCACCCATTCACCCCCACCCCCCGCCCTCCTCCCCTTCCATCACCCCTAGTTCGTTTCCCAGAGTTAGGAGTCTTTATGTTATGTCTCCCTTTCTGATATTTCCCACACATTTCTTCTCCCTTCCCTTATATTCCCTTTCACTATTATTTATATTCCCCAAATGAATGAGAACTTATGATGTTTGTCCTTCTCTGATTGACTTACTTCACTCAGCATAATACCCTCCAGTTCCATCCACGTTGAAGCAAATGGTGGGTATTTTATTTTTTAAAAGATTTTATTTATTTATTCACAGAGACAGAGACAGAAACAGAGAGAGAGAGAGACGCAGAGACACAGGCAGAGAGAGAAGCAGGCTCCATGCAGGGAGCCCGACGTGGGTCTCAATGCTTGGTCTTGGTCTCCAGGATCACGCCCTGCCCTGCAGGCAGCACTAAACCGCTACACCACTGGGGCTGCCCTGCACTGAGGTTTTAAATGCCGCTTCTATCATTATTCTCCATGCAGTCTGCACAGATCTGTGAACAATATACTCGTAATTCCAACTGCGTCTTCACAGTGACATCATCATTGAGTCTTAGCCAATGCACATTGAATAGATTTTCTTTAAAAGAACATTCATCCAATTTATGTGCACATTTGATCTAGGGGATGACCAATACGCAATCTCTTCCTCTGGATTCTTGGCAGAAATTCTCCAGCTGTCACATCTTCCTGCTAAAACACCCTAGCACGTCTGCCCCTTGTGCTCTGAGGTCAGTGGCACACACACAACCAAATGTGGCAAGGCTCCTGGGGACCTGTGTCCATGTGGGGGAGGACAGATCCTAGGAGGGAGTCACTTCCCACAGGGTGGGGAGAACTAAAGTTTAAAACAGGTGAAAACAGTGAAAGATGGCAACGATGTTCAGTGTGTAACCTTTCCAGGAAAGAGCATGAGGGCTTCCACACACAACCTGGAGAATCCACTCCCTGGGTCTTCAGTATTTCAGGAAACTCAGAGAAGGAGAGGGCTGCAATCAGGGTCATCATATCGGAGGAAGGTTTCAGCATCCTGCGCAGAAGAGGCCACTTGTACATGGGAACCCTTCACTCCTCTGGATGTGACAGTGATGTCAGACAAATTGGTGTAGCGACACCACCTCAGTCCTCAGTGGCCCATCAAAATCTAAGGGATCCGTGGCAGAGAGAAAGAAAGAGAGAGAGAGAGACAGAGAGACAGAGAGAGACAGAGAAAGAGAGAGAGAGACATAGGCAGAGGGAGAAGCAGGCTCCGTGCACAGAGCCGGATGGGGGCCTTGATCCCAGGACTCCAGGATCATGCCCTGAGCCAAAGAGAGACACTTAACCACTGAGCCACCCAGGAGTCCCTCACACCGAGAAATGAGAGTGTAGCCTAAAATCTATGCCACAGTCATGGGAGACCACATGCGGGGAGACTTGTCCAGATCATAGGAGGAGAGTGGACAGAGCTCTGGAGACAGGACCTGTGTCCTATGGGCAACTGATCCCCATGTCATGCAGGGTGAGGTGGTGTCAGGATGCCAGAAGGCGATTGAGGCATATTTATGAGGGGTCAGGCTGGATCAGAGCTGGGAACACCACCTGGCACTGACTGTGGCCTCTGCTCAGGGCTCACAGTGGGGACCTCCCAAACCACACCCTAGCCCGAAACAGCCCCTCCCCTACTGACCCCCAGACATTCTCAGGCAAAGGGACCTGACCCAGGACCAGGGAGGGGTCAGAGAGCTGGGGTCTCATTTGCATGGGAGGGCCCCTCCCTCTCTCAGAGGATGAAGAGGGGAAGGGAGAGATGAGGGGAGGCTCTGCTCAGCTGAGGGGCCACTGAAGACAGGATCCGTGATGACCTCCACCATGGGCTGGTCCCCTCTCCTCCTGACCCTCCTCGCTCACTGCACAGGTGACTGGATGTGGGACAGGGGGAGGGGTCCTGGGAAGACATGTGGGATCCAGACTCCAGCATCACCCTGTCTATTTCTGTCTTTCTTGCAGGTTCCTGGGCCCAGTCTGTGCTGACTCAGCCGGCCTCAGTGTCTGGGTCCCTGGGCGAGAGGGTCACCATCTCCTGCACTGGAAGCAGCTCCAACATCGGTGGATATTATGTGAGCTGGTACCAACAGCTCCCTGGAACAGGTCCCAGAACCGTCATCTATAGTAGTAGTAACCGACCCTCAGGCGTCCCTGATCGATTCTCTGGCTCCAAATCAGGCAGCACAGCCACCCTGACCATCTCTGGGCTCCAGGCTGAGGACGAGGCTGATTATTACTGCTCTACGTGGGAGAGTAGTCTCAGTGCTGGCACAGTGCTCCATGCCTGTGAGGAAGTGAGACAAAAACCCATTTACCCATCTGCAATGTGAGCGAGCGCCCCAGCAGCTGCCTGCTTAGGCTCCCGCTGGGATTCTGCTCATTCTTCAGTTGATGCCCTGAGCCCAGGTGCATCTTGGGAACCTCCTGGGAATAGCACTTGCTTCATCATCTCTGACCTCAGAGTCACTCAGAGTAGCCCATTATACACAGAGGGTGTCAAAGGAAAGAGAAAGTTTTGTCCTCGTGTTCAGGGACAGGTTCTTTTAGGCTACTGTACATTCACTTGTCATCTGCTGTTTTCTCAGTAAATGAAATACTCTTAGGTCGCGAAGCTATCATGGTCCTTCGGCCCCATCCCTGTTCTGCTGATGCACATGTCAGCTCTTTTTGCAGCTGGGATCATTATTGCCTTAGCTTCAACCAGATGATGAGTTCTTCTTATTTGATGTTTGAATGAAACACATAAATCAATGCACACTCAGAAATATAAAAGGTAAAAAATAAAGCTTTCTCAAGAAAATCCCCACGTGAAACTTTATGGAAACTTTATTCATAATCAATACAATTCAAAAAATAAAAAATCTGCACACTTTGTTTATACCAGATTTTTATAAAATGACCAGATTTGAAGTAACGAAGTTTTACTCCAACCTGATGTATAGTCGTAGCGGGTGATATTAGTCAACATTTAAAGAAATAAGTTCTTAAGTTCAAAAGCATGCATGAATATTAACTGCACATTTCTTCAGGATGAATAACATAAATGGCTAAATTCCACATCATGGGAATTTCATTGTATTTTGGAAAAGGCGGGAATCTAGAGGTGTAAGGAGGCCAGGAATTGACAGCAGGTGGAGGAAGGAGGAGGGTGAGCGTGTGAGGCAACTGTATTCCTGGTGATGTCACTCTCCTATAGGGTACTGTGACAGTGGCCACACCACACTGCTTTGTGGTCACATCTCAGTAAAACTGTACTCCAGACCATAGCACCTTCGTGTAAGCAGAGAATGTCATCTAGGAGTCTGGGGTCCATGACAGAGCTCACAGGGGAATATCATCCTATCCACTTTCCCAAGGAGGTGTGACCCCTTGTCCCCAAAGGGAGAGGACAGGAAGGTGTGGACCTGAGGGAGATTGAACAGGAAGTTTGAAAATGGAGCAAAGAAACTGCACGTGAGCCCCTTAGGATGACAGAGTGTGTCCCCTGGGCTGAGGGCTCAGTCCCTGTGATGTGTCGGGGCCAGGCCTGGAATTGAACCATGACGTCCACAGTCACAGATGATGGGAGACATCGTTTCCCCTTCAAGAACAGAAAGTCCTCTGTTGTGAGGGTCTCAACCTCTCCATAGCCAGTGTGGAGATCGGACCCGCCCTTATGATTCTGGAGACGATTGCCCTAGGTCCTTCAGCTACAACACCAGATACTTTGAAAACAAAGGTGGATTACTTATAAACCTATAAATTATACCACACACCTGGGGCCATACACAGAGGTCATCGTAGAGACAGAGCGAGCCTGTGGCCTCCCCACCAGGAGTGAGGACAGAAGCTCTGCTGACAGAGAAGGAGTTGGGTTGAGAGACATCACAGAAAAATAACACAAATATTTGATTTTTCTATACTTTTTAGACATTTCAAATGGATCTGGTGTTGACCAGCAGGCTCTTACCATGGAGACAGTCCACAGGGAGTTACCAGTGATGGAAGGGTCACTTTTTTTTTAATAGTAAATTTATTTTTTATTGGTGTTCAATTTGCCAACATACAGAATAACACCCAGTGCTCATCACGTCAAGTGCCCCCCTCAGCGCCCCTCACCCATTCACCCCCACCCCGCCCTCTTCCCCTTCCACCACCCCCTAGTTGCACCCTTATGCTTTTGGGTGCAATAGTAAATGGGATTGACTCCTTAATTTCCTTTCTTCACTCTCATTGTTACTGTAGAGAATTGCCACTGATTTTGGGGGCATTGGTTTTGTATCTTGCCACAATGCCAAATTCCTGTATGAGTTCTAGCAATCTTGGGGTGGAGTTTTTTGGGTTTTCTATGGACAATCATGTCATCTGGGAAGAGGGAGAGTTTGACTTCTTCTTTGCCAATCTGAATGTCTTCTATTTCTTTTTTTTTTTTTTTGCCTGATTGCTGAGGCTATGATTGTTAGTACTATGTTCAATAGCAGTGGTGAGAGTGGACATCCCTGTAGTGTTCCTGATATTAGGGGAAAGGCTCTCATTTTTTCCCCATTGAGAATGATATTTGCTATTTTCATTCATAGATGGCTTTTAAGATGCTGAGGAATGTACCCTCTATCCCTACACTCTGAAGAGTTTGGATCAGGAATGGATGCATTTTGTCAAATGCTTTCTCTGCATCTATTGAGAGGATCATATGGTTTTGTTATTTCTCTTGTTGATATGATCTATCTCCTTGATTGTATTATGAGTGTTTTTTTAATAAATTAATTTTTATTGTTCAATTTACCAACATACAGAATAACACCCAGTGCTCATCCCGTCAAGTGTCCCCCTCAGTGCCCGTCACCCACTCACCCCCACCCCCCGCCCACATCCCCTTCCACCACCCCTAGTTCGTTTCCCAGAGTTAGGAGTCTTTATGTTCTGTCTCCCTTTCTGATATTTCCCAAACATTTCTTCTCCTTTCCCTTATATTCCCTTTCACTATTATTCATATTCCCCAAATGAATGAGAACATACACTGTTTGTCCTTCTCCGATTGACTTACTTCACTCAGCATAATACCCTCCAGTTCCATCCACGTTGAAGCAAATGGTGGGTATTTGTCGTTTCTAATGGCTGAGTAATATTCCATTGTATACATAAACCACATCTTCTTTATCCATTCATCTTTCGATGGGCACCGAGGCTCCTTCCACAGTTTGGCTATTGTGGACATTGCTGCTAGAAACATCGGGGTGCAGGGGTCCCGGCATTTCATTGCATCTGAATCTTTGGGGTAAATCACCAGCAATGCAATTGCTGGGTCATAGGGCAGGTCTATTTTTAACTCTTTGAGGAACCTCCACACAGTTTTCCAGAGTGGCTGCACCAGTTCACATTCCCACCAACAGTGTAAGAGGGTTCCCTTTTCTCCGCATCCTCTCCAACATTTCTGGTTTCCTGCCTTGTTAATGTTCCCCATTCTCACTGGTGTGAGGTGGTATCTCATTGTGGTTTTGATTTGTATTTCCCTGATGGCAAGTGATGCGGGGCATTTCCTCATGTGCTTGTTGGCCATGACTGTCTTCCTCTGTGAGATTTCTCTTCATGTCTTTTGCCCATTTCATGATTGGATTGTTTGTTTCTTTGCTGTTGAGTTTAAGAAGTTCTTTATAGATTTTGGAAACTAGCCCTTTATCTGATATGTTATTTGCAAATATCTTCTCCCATTCTGTAGGTTGTCTTTTAGTTTTGTTGACTGTATCCTTTGCTGTGCAAAAGCTTCTTATCTTGATGAAGTCCCAATAGTTCATTTTTGCTTTTGTTTCTTTTGCTTTCGTGGATGTATCTTGCAAGAAGTTACTGTGGCCAAGTTCAAAAAGGGTGTTGCCTATGTTCTCCTCTAGGATTTTGATGGAATCTTGTCTCACATTTAGACAAGATTGAGTGTTGAACCAACCTTGAAACCCAGGTATAAGTCCTACTTGATCATTTTGAATAATATTCTTAATGTATGTTGGAGCCTATTGGCTAGTATCTTGTTGAGAATTTATGCATTCATGTTCATCAGGGATATTGGTCTATAATTCTCCTTTTTGGTAGGGTCACCCTTTTGGTAGGGTCTGGTTTTGAAAATACGGTGATGCTGGCCTCATAAAATGAGTTTGGAAGTATTCCTTCCCTTTCTATCCTTCAGAACAACTTTAGTATAATAGGTATTATTTCTTCTTTAAATGTTTGATAGAATTCCCCAGGGAAATCATCTGGCCCTCGACTTTTGTGTCTTGGGAGGTTTTTGATGACTGCTTCAATTTCCTCCCCGGTTATTGGCCTGCTCAGGTTTTCTGTTTCTTCTAGTTTCAGTTTTGGTATTTTTTGGTTTTCCAGAAATGCATCCATTTCTTCTAGATTGCATAATTTTGGGTGTATAGCTGTACATAATACATTTTTAAAATCATTTATATTTCCTTGTTATTGGTTGTGATCTCTCCTCTTTCATTTATAATTTTAATTTGCTTGATTCTTTTCTCTTGCCCTTTTAATAGGCTGCCTATTACTTTATCTATCTTATTAATTCTTTCAAAGAACCAACTCCTGATTTTTTGACCTGCTCTATAGTTCTTCTGGTCTCTATTTCACCACGTTCTGATCGAATCTTTATTATCTCTCTTTTTCTGCATGGTATGGGTCTTATTTGCTGTTCTATCTCCAGTGCCTTTTGTGTGATGTTCGCATGTGTATTTGAGTTTGTTTTTTTTTCCAATTTTTTGACGGATGCTTGTATTGTGATGTATTTCTCCCTCAAGACTGATTTTGCTCTATCCCAAAGATTTTGAACACTTGTATCTTCATTTTCATTAGTTTCAATGAATCTTTTTCATTCTTCTCTAATTTTCTGATTGACCCATTCATCTTTTAGTAGGATGCTCTTTAACCTCCAGGAGTTTCAGTTTCTTCCAAATTTCTTCTTGTGATTGAGTTCTGGTTTCAAAGCATTGTGGTCTGAAAATATGCAGAAGGCAATCCCTATTATTTGGTCTCCGTTGAGACCTAATGTGACCCAGTATGTGGTCTATTCTGGAGAAAGTCCATGTGCATTTGAGGAGAATGTATATTCAGTTGCATTTGGATGCAAAGTTCAGTGTACATCTGTGAAATCCATCTGGTCCAGTGTATAATTTAAGGCCCTTGTTTCTTTGGTGATGTGCCTAGAAGATCTGTATTTTACAGAAAGTGCCCTATCAAGGCCTCATTCTATTAGCATATTATTATCTAAGTATATCTTTACTTGGATTATTAATTGATTGATATACTTGGTAGCTTCCACAATAGGGGCATAAATATTCATGATTCTAAGGTCTCTTTTTTCATA